CTGGCGCCACCGCTGGACATTGGGGTCTTAGTCTCAAGCCTCCGAAGAACAACCCGGAGTGTCACATTGTTGATTCTCGAAGTTGCCTGTGAAAGTAGTGGTGGCTAACTTTCTTCCGATTTTGCGGATCCCACACTAGTTGCAAGCAACTGCCAGTTTTTTTGGAGTGCGAAAAGTGCGATCGGATGGCCTTTGACACTCCTGAAAGGGCACAGAACGGCAAGAGGAGGCGGAAAGCTCTCATCAGCTAAAGGGTCATGGTGTGGAGATGCGTACCACGCACGCATATGCGGCTAACAGCTCAGTCTTACCAAATTCACACGTGATTTGTGATGCAGGGAAACCCTGGCTCTGTGGCTTTCCATCGATGTGCCTCGGTCCCAACCGCCTGGTCATTATGAGTGCGAAGTATACATATGGGCAGTGCACCGCGATACCGAGTAAGTATGGATACGGAGAAACCATCCCAGCCTCAACCCCCCCTTGCAAATGCACATTCAAATTTAGGGCGCCTTCTCCCGATTTCTCCCATTGTTTGCACCCACCGCTTTTTTCTATGACGCTTCCTTCAACCCTCGACGCTTGTGCTCGACTCTTCTTCTTGAGGCTTGTAGACACCAGAACAGGAGTGTGCAGGATTGGACATGCAAGTGAAATGGTTTCACCCAGTTTGTGCGACAGTGCAGATCCCAGGGCTTGATCCCTATAGACCTATCCCCAACCCCCTGTACAGTTACCCGTTGACCCTGTGTGTATTCGAACCTTCAACCTGCCCTCAACTCATGTACACATGTTCCCGTATGTAGTTTGGGGTCATGTGGACTTGAACCGACGACCTATAGGTTCGCAGTTTTAGAGCCAGGCCTATAGATGAGTCTAAGTGCCGCGAAGGGTCAGTCTGGAAGGTTACTACGTGGCTCTTCGGAGCTGTAGGGGTCAGCCCGTAGTAGCCTAGGGGGTTCTAGAATCGTCAACTTGGCCTTTCGAGGCTGTACGAGTCGGTTGTCTGTAGGTGAGTCAGCAAAGTACAGTCCAGTCCCAGTCGCAGTCCCAGTCAACCCTGTCTAGTCAGCAAGTACCAGGTGGGGCTGCACTCTCCTTGGGCCCGGGACAGAAGGCAGGCCAGACCACGACGAAACGGTGGGAGCACCCAGCCATTCATTCATTTGCCTGCAAGCCATGCGGAAGTGCTGCTTGTGCGACTTGTGCATTCGGAGGTCTGCAGGTGCCCAACGACGAAGAGGGCAGAGGAGGATGATGGCGGCCATAGCCGCCAGCACCTAGAGGAAGGAGACGACAGCGGCCATAGCCGCCAGCTTGTTGACGACAACAGTAGTGTGTGCGTGCGAGCGCGGACATTCAGGGTAGATCCTAGTGTGTGAGTGTGAGAGAGTGCGCCACTGGTAGATGCAGCGTTCGGGTGGGAATTCAGATCGACTCCAGGTGCCATAGCCACAAGTTGTGACAAGTTGATTTCAACTGAGTTTTGTGCTGGAAAACATATCTTTGAGTTTCTGTGCGGGCGCTGTGCGCCATCTTATCCTTGTTTCTGATTCTGTATTGAGGGAGCGTTTGACCATCGGCATCTGTGTGCATGCATGCTGAGAGTGAAGTCGAAGACAAGTCTGATTGCAAAGAAGCCTTTCACTTTCTCCGGTTGAAGCAAACAGTCCCAGCGCATTTGTGTAGAAATCGGGGCCTGCCCTTCCATCTTCACCCGACCTCAATGCGCCGTCATCACGGCTGTATCGATCTGGAAAATTATCCTGTATATATTTTGATTACAAGGGTGTGCTGTGCTCGGGGGAAGATGTTAGGCCGGTTTGCCCTCAACGTCGGGTGGTCTAAGGAAAGTCGACAAACTGCAGTCTGCCCAAGTATACCAGTGGACTGGACTTGGTGGCGGGTAAGATTTCAATCCTGGTATTGGAGGCTGGTGGTTCAAATCCTGGGCTGAGTTTGAGGACATTTCTGGAGCAGGTTCAGACTGCTCCTGGGTCGTTTTCTGGACCAGGCTCAACTCAGAGTGCTCTGGCCTTTTTGACCTGTGGTTTGAATCCTGGTCTGAGTCTCGGGACGTTTTCTGGGCCAGGTTTAGCTTGCTTCTGGGACGTGGTGGTTATGAGGCCTGATTGATGCTGGACAAGGGTGGAGTTTGACATTGATCTCTTCGTGCAAAAACGCAACCCATTTTGTGCACTTTTCCGCATCTGAGGCTGTACTCACGCTAGGACTTTCCTTCATGTATCCAACCGCTTTTTTGGCCAGTCCTGGATGTATCTGCTCACACTTATATCAACATCCGATGAAAAAGTCCAAGTGCGAGTATGTCCTGATACCACTCCATTGTCTCCATGGTCTTTAAGTCTGAACCATGTTCTAGTTTGGGCCCGCTTTTCATGGTCTTTTTTTTGGTTTTTGTTTTTCGAATGAGAACGTTGTCCATTTTCTCCGGTTGACTCTTAGGACTCCAGATCGCAAACGCTGTGTCCGATGCGGGATGGAAAGGCAACTACGGCGTGCACGACGTGCTTGCACAATGGGATCAATGGGATAAAACGCAAACAGTGTTATTGAGACAGACAAAAGCAACAAGTAACATGATTACCGAGCAAGTTGTCACACACCTTTTCCTCAACTGACCGTCTTTTCTACCCTCTCTTTCTCTCTCTCTTGCTCCCTCCTCTTACC